ACTGAGAGAACTAGGAGGTGCAGAAGCCCTGGCACAGGAGCTCAAAGGGAGCCCGACTCTGGCCGTTTGTTCTTTCTCACAGAGAATGTTTGTAGTATTTGATCCCGGATAGTTATTCTAATGGCGGTGGTGGCTGGTGAAGGGCCGAGGGGGCACAGGAGAGGGAAAATCCTTGGTTGTAAGCTAGAGTAACTGTCTCCATCACCAACTCGTTACCCTAGTCCAGAGCTCTAGAGTTTTAGGGAAACGTTTCGCCAACATGGGTGAGATCATAAAGATTCTCTTTCCTCCCACTGGGTATGGTGGCTCACGCTTGAAATCACAGCAGAGGCAGGGGGATCTAAAGTTCTAAGTTGACCTAGGGTACACACTAAGACCCTACTTCAAGCAAGCAAGCAAGCAAACAAATGCAAAAACACTTTCCTCCTGGCTCTCCCTGCAGCATGGTCTCCGGATGTAGCTTGAGGTGGCTTTGAACTCAAAATTCTCCAGGCTCAGCCTCCAAGTACTAGGATTTCTGTTGCACGCCGGAGAATAGGATTGCTAATGCACACTGGAGAATAGGATTGCTGTTGCACACTGGGGAATGGGATTGCTGTTGCACCCTGGAAAATAGGGCTTCTACTGTTGTACTCTGGGGAATGGGATTGCTGTTGCACCCTGGAAAATAGGGCTTCTACTGTTGCACACTGGGGAAAGGGATTGCTGTTGCACACTGGGAAAGAGAACTGCTGTTGCACACTGGGGAAAGGGATTGCTGTTGCACACTGGAGAATAGGGCTTCTACTGTTGCACACTGGGGAAAGGGATTGCTGTTGCACACTGGGGAATGGGATTGCTGTTGCACACTGGAGAATAGGGCTTCTACTGTTGCACACTGGGGAACAGGATTGCTGTTGCACACTGGGGAAGGAAGGTTGGGTTACTAACTGAAGAAGGATCTGATAGAAGATAGAATTCTGACCTCTTGTATTTGGTCCACAAGGTGACCCTAGAAGTTTCCAATTTTCAAAATAACAGTATTGACGTCCATGAAATAACCACTGCTAGCCTCCTGCCTCAACACCTGTTTGATTCCACAGATAAGTACATCATGAATTCTGTACCAGTACAAACAAAATAATGGTACTTCACACTGCTGTATGTTCAGACTAGGATTTAGACCCGGGGCCAGGCGGAAATCACTTCAAACGACCAACACCGAGACAATCTGAAGCAACAAAATAAATAACACAAGTGCAGAATTATCACCTAGGAGATAAAATAAGTATGAAGTCCTCAGTGAGATAAATCAATCACTGGAAAAACAGATAGGAGAGGGAGAAAGAAGCATTTCCCTGCAGAAGAATTCCAGTGAATAAACATAGAAGGAATGAAGGAAATATGGAATAGCTTCTAGAACATTCCTATTGTCACAGATAATAACCAACAGATTTTAGAGTAGTGAAAATAAAGTCTGAAGAGAAACAGCATTACGCACAGTCTCAACGTTACTCTCCAATGGAATTATGAACTGCAAAGGAACAAAGAGTGCCCCTCATGGTGGAGAAACGAGGGGACCTCACCATAACCTAGTTGCCAAAGTTGCCCTCAGAAGTGTTGAAACGCCAGCATCACATGAGCCCTGATGCAAGGCTCTAGGAAAGACACACACCATTTGAGTGAGGTTCCTGCCCCGAATGCCTAAACCTTGATTTCATCATGAGAAACACAGATACCTCCAAATGGAAGGCATTCTACACAGTAACTGGCCAATTCCCAATATCAAGGTCAGCTGGGCAGTGGTGGTGCCCGCCTTTAATCCCAGCACTCTGGAGATTGAGGTGGGTGGATCTCTGTGAGTTCAAGGCCAGTCTGGTCTACAAGAGCTAGTTCCAGGATGGGCTCCAAAGCTACAGAGAAAACCTGTCTCGAAAAAAACAAAAAAGAAAACAGGAAAAAGGAGGAAAGCTGAGCAGGGTCCTTCACTTCTCCCCTCACTGCCACCTCCCCCACCGCGGGGCTGCGTCCAGACCGTGAGCCAAAACAAGCTTTTCTTCCTGAGGCTGCTCTGGCAGGTGTTTTGCAACAGTAGCTAACACAGCCCGGTGACCCTGGAGGACAGGAGAGAATTAGGAAGCGTGACCACAAAGCCCTCTAACTATAGTTATGGAGACAAAGGACACATATACACAAGTCTGGGCAAATGCAGAACAGTGGTGATATGTGCAACACCCAATCGAATCAAGACTGATTTTGTTTAAGACAGGTGCCACGTATCTCAGGCTGGCCTCGAGTTCTCTATGAGGCGGAGGATGCCTCTGAACTTCTGATCCTCCTGCCTCAGCCTCCGCCTCCTCAGTGCTGGGATTTAGGACACCACCGTGCTCAGCTTATATGGTGCTCGGGATAAGACCCAGGCTCCATTAGGTTAGGCAGGCACCCCAACAAATGAGTTCTGCCCCCACCCCCACCACTGACCCCCATGACAGCAGGAAGCAATTCTGGAGAACGAGTCTCCTCTCCCAAAAAAGTTTGTCCTCAGAGTTGGGAACACTGTTTAGGAGTTGTTGATTATTACTTGTAGAGGGTTGGTGTTGGGGTGAAAACTATGTAGGTTCAAAAATAAAAATAAAAAGGGATAATAGTAGTGGGTAATAGAGTGAACACTTGTAAGCTATTATTTATGGACAATTTACATTGGTATAGTTTCTTGTATACTGGTACAAGTTCAAATTATATTTGTTATTTCTGTTTACAATATTTGTGTACCTATGCAAACTTATTCTGTCAGACTGTATACATGCATGTTCCTACCTCTGTTTAGGACATTTTGTATACTGATACAACTTTTAGGATATATTTTTATGTTGCATTATATATTATTCTTACCTCTGATCAAGATACATATACATTGTTTATATTGAGGTCATTGTCCTCATTTGCTGCACATTTGTTTACAGGTTATTTAATATTCTGACATGAGGTCTTAGTCTTTAAGTTATACAGGTATTAAACATTATAGGTCAATAGTTGTTCACGTTTGTTATACACATAGTCAGATTAATTAGGTTCTTTAGAAACATAGAGATTGTATTCTGCCTAGATAGGTAATCTTCAACCACTTCAAGGATCTGTAGAACATGGCATTTAAACAACTTAGGTCTATTGACCTGAGACATGATTGCTCCTGACAGCACCAATCTATTACCGAGAGAAAGTTGAGCACTGAAGACAGTCCACTTGGAGTTTGTTTTCTTTTTGGCACAATTGGCCTTTAGGCAAGGAACTGCCCATGCCTCAACCACTGACAAAATACATGGTATCTGGATAGGATAAGCAGGACACAAGGAAAAGGACTGCGAAACCTTGCCAAAAAAGGGTAAGATGATTCTGAAAAATTCCCTGCCTCTGAAAATGCTCTGTCAGTTACTCTAGGCCTTAGTCAAAGTTGGTTGTTTCAACATTGCAAATGAGAGTTTAGGTGATTGCCCAGGCAGCCAGTTGTCTCTGTCATATACTGCTCGCTTTGGAAACTGCTTGATTGCACTTCCTGCCTATTCAAATGATATCGCCCTTCTCAGGCCTTCCATGGGGTTGAGAATTAGACAGTCGTAGTTGCCTTCCTCTTATGATTTAGCCAAGCTTATTTCTGTTGCAAGGCTTAGACTCTTTGGAATACAATGTTTATTAAAACATTTATCATGTGTTCCTTGCTTAATATTGTTTATGTTGGTTGTAATTCTATATTTGATATCTGTTCCTATTGTATATAATTTTGTACTGGGTTTTGGATTGTTCTTATTTAGACAAAAGGGGGAAGGTTGGTTAACTAATTAAGAGGTGGGACCAAGTTAGGGTGTGGCTTGCTGGGACCCGGAGAAAAAAGGGTGCACTCTCTGTGTGGTTCCCTCATGGCACAGCTGAGCTTGGACTTCTTGTTCCTGTTTTTGTGAGTTTTCCTCTTATATAAATAAAAGTATAATTGTTTTATCTTCTAGCTAGCCTGGTTATTTCCCAAATCGAGCTAACTTCTACACTCCACAGCAGTGTCCCTGGAAACCACTCTTGAACTGTCCTTCTCCTTTCCCATACTCTTGTCTGCTATTAACTCTGCGTCCTTAATTCATCTCGAGTCTATGTCATCTCGGGTCCCATCAGCATGGACTCCGTTCAGGAGCTCGATCATTTTCTTCCCAGATGAGAGCAGCTGCTGTACAAATGACAACTTCATGACCTCGAGGCTCCGCCAGTGACATGAGGTTCACCTACACAGTCCAGGAGGTGACGTGAGGTGACCAACTGGAGCGGTGACAGCCTCAGAGCTTCCGCCTCCACCTGTTGCTGGGAGCAGCTCAGCCTAGGCCTGGCTTACCTCCACTCACCAGGCAGCTAGCTTCTCGGGCCCCCTGGCATGTTCAAACTACTTTCGAGTATCTTTCTTAAAATGGAATATAATAAAGACTCTCAATGTAATATCAAATACAAGTGTTGTTTTACTACATCAAACATAACAGACACTTGATTGCATATTTGTGTATCTTAAACATGGAAAATCCAAACAATCAAATTTAGGTTGGCACAGATTCAATTTCCTTCTCTCTCTCTCTCTCTCTCTCTCTCTCTCCCTCTCTCTCTCCCTCTCTCTCTGTCTCTCTCTCCAGGGTCTCACTATGTAGCCCTGTCTACCTTAGAACTTGCTATGTAGACCAGGCTGGCCTTCAACTCATAGATTCACCTGCCTCCCTCCCAAGTACTAGGATTAAAGGCATATGTCACTAAACGAGTACAAAATTAATTTCTAATGTCTAACAGCACAGTGGTGGGGCATTTACTACTGTGCTTCAAGACCATGGGTTCAATCCCCAGGCCTAAAACAAATAGGATTATCATCCTTCTGAACTTTGACCTATGTGATCCCCTTGATCAGCCCTTTCTCTCCCACCAGCCTGTGTCTTTGACCATCTTAGCCCCCAGTGCCCTCCCCTGAGGTGTTCGGCCTCAGCCTCCATGCCTCCTACCTCTGCTTTAGCCGAAGTTTCACCCCTCCTGACCATGTTGCTTTCCGGTGCTGGGGACCGCTGGTGAGCAGCTCTGAGCTGAGGGAGTTAGAGGCACCAGGGTCTGCATGGCCCGAGTCTGCACAGACGTCTCTGTTAAAAACAAGAGAATGAAGAGCTGAGTATGGCAGGCTCTACAGGGAGGAGCACAAATCTACAGAGGGTCTTCCACCCTTCCTGCCTATGACTCTGTGGCAAAGTATATTTCTACATTTCTCTCAAACTATTTTTTATGTTTTGTAGTTCTGGGACTTTGGTGCAATTTAGAGACCGAGCACTCACCTAGCATGCACAGGGCCCAGCACTGTGGTCCTCGGGGTTACCTCAGGGCTCTGTGAATGCTGAACAAATGCTGGCTCCTGCCGAGCCACACCTAGCCACCTTAACTGCTGGGACTCGACGCTGACCAACTGAAACTTGAACTCAATGATCCAAATCATCACACTGCTTCCCTGAAACCAAGTCGTTTCTCAGTTTCCATAGGAGGAGCACAATCTCTAAGTGCAAGAAATGGCCTGTGCCCCGATCAGTGGGTGGCAGATCAGGAGGAAACATAACAGTGCCTGAGGCACTACTATTTCAGACTGTTTAGATTCTATCGGGTTGGGAAGCCAGCCTTTTGTGCACCCCTTTCAATCCTGCCTCCCACCCGTGGGCCTCAACACCATCCCTGTAACTCCTCTCCTCCACACTCCCAGGGAGTCGGGAAGAATGTGAAGCCCCGCATTGCCAGAGCCTTCTGCCATGGGAACAGACATATTTCCCCTCCAGAGACTAGAATTTCCAAACACCCTCGAAGTCGCCTCTTTAATCGCACTGGCCCTGCTTCAAGCTTTGAACTAATTTTACATTTGTATTTTATATTATTGTTGTATGTGGTGTGGGCACGTGACAACTCCTGCCTGCCTGCCACGGTCTCTTGTTCCTACTGTGCTGTGTATTCCAGGCTACCTAGCCCCAGAGACCCTCGGGTTGCTGCCCCACAGGCGTGATGGGGTTACAGGTATGCACCCTTACATCTGAACTTGTATATAGATTCCTGGAACCCAACAGTTGGCAGGTCTGAGCTGAAAGCACTTTCACCCACTGAGCCATCTCGCCATCCCCACAGAAGTGGGTTCCTCCCAGTGGTATTTGTCTTCCAGGGTTTTTCTCAGCCTCTGAGATCCAACTGCTGGACCTATGGGAGGCACGGTCAGGCTGCCCTGCCTCTGCATATGCCTTGGCCAGAAGGCAAGGATTACCAAGCAGCTGCCGAGATTAAGCCTGTCCATCTGGCTTCCTACTTTTCAGAGCACAGAATGAAGTCAACGAACGTTCTTTCTCAAATCCTGAGACAAATAAAAAGAACTTTTTATTCCAGGGTACTGGGGAGGGACTCAGGGGCTCAGCTGAGGCTTCCTATTCTTTTTAGATTTATTTATTTTTATTTTATGTGCATTGGTGTTTGGGGTATGGCTGTCAAGAGGCCATGTGGGTGCTGGGAATTGAATTAGGTCCTCTGGAAGTCAGTGTTCTCAACCTCTGAGCTATCTCTCCAGCCCTGAGGTTTTCTATTCTTAAGGGGCAATGTTTCTGTTTACCTTAGCTGTGGCCTGGATTGGTTCTGAAGGTGTCTCCCAAGGACTTAGGGGCTCTGCAGAGTGGTAGGACCTTTAAGAGGTGGCAGCGTATGGTGGGGGCATTAATAGCCCTCCCTTGAAGGAGTGGGCTGTATACAGATAAACCCGAACCTTGAATCATCGCCTGCCTTCCCATTTTTCATGGTAGCCTTTTCCTCTTGATCTGTGCTCCCAGTCGGGATGCAATCCAACAGGATACGGTGCAGCCTTGACGGCTCTCACCAGAGACCAAACCAAGAAGCCTGCCCCACCTGGACGTTCAGCCTCCAGAACTGGAAACTTAATAAAACTGTCAAGCTAGCCTGCCTTAGGTGTTCCATTATAGTAACGCTGAAGGGATCCCACACTTCGTTACGTCTCTGTAGTCTCACTTCTTTCTATTTAGTCAAAAGAATTCTAAACTTGACCTTTGAGGCCTGCTTGAGGTTAAGTCACCTAGGACATTAATGGCACTGGGCCAGGGAACTCTGGGCCTCAGGCTCCTCAGCTGTAGGAGAGACGAAATAAGGGACTGTGCACAAGGGCTAAAAACACATTTCTGGAACATGAGCCCTGACCAGCTAGGTAACATTGTCCTCTACGCCTCTGCTCTGTAGTCAATAAAATGGAACCACAGGGCCACTCTTTGCATAGGGTGTGGAGACTCTTCTATAACACGGGTAAAGTACCTGGAGCAGACCCCAGGGCATAGTAAGCACTTAGCAAGTTAGCCATTATTATTATAAGGCCTGTCTTGCAGAGTTGTTCCAAAAGTTCTAGATAATGTATAAACTGTCTAGCATAGTGCCCACGCGTGGTATGTGCCTAATAACCCTACTGTTCTCATTCCTGTCTTAATATAATACCTTCATTTTAGAGCTTCTTTCAATGATTACACAAAGAGCTGCAGTTAAAAAAAGCCTTGTTTCTACAGGGAGGATAGAAGAGCCTTGGCCAGTGAGCGTTCACAGGCCAAAACCTCCTACAAAACTCACGCCGCCCTCACTCAGAAATTCCCGCACGACCCTAGCAACACCAGACAGACAGACATTTGGCTTAAGTCGAGGTGCGAAGCCGACTCAAAGGGATCTCCCTGTTCAACCCCCTAATGTAAAGATTTGATGAAGGCAGAAGGCGACTCTGACAGCGGGCAAGAGAGAGGAGAGTTTGCTGCTGGGTCTGATGACCTGAGTTCCATTTCCAAGACACAGACGTAGGAGGGGAGATTCGACTCCAGCAAGCCATCCCCTGTTCTCCTCCTCACAAGTACCCATGATTTCAAACACAAAGCACCCTTCAAGACCACCCACTGACATCATCCACTCTGACACAAAGGTTTAGCCTTGTCCTTTCCAGGTGTCCCCTAGACCTTAGTCTCTTCTACTGAAGAAAAACAACCACAGGCAGGCCTTTCAGAAAGCCTTTGTGGCATTTAATAACTTCCTCATTTTTTACTCAAACCGCAGACATTGGCTCAGTCCTTTCTGTAAGGTGGCCGAGCCTCCGAAATGCCGTTCTTTGTTCTTTCTCCCATTCCCCCATCCTAGACACACATAGGGGGACAGAGCCACAGGTTATGGGTGTTGCAGGCCATGGCTGGGCAAGAAGAACAAGCCAATGTGAGAAAGACGCAAGCCTGGGGGGCACATGTGAGCATCTCATCTTTGAGGATTTTTCTGGGGCGAAGACCGGCATCTCAGCACTGCCCTCCGAAGCCATGACACTACGGCCACTTGTCATCTCAGAGGACCAGGGCAGCTGGGTGCAAGGCTAAGGAAGCCATCTGAGCGTGTGACTGCAATCCCAGGTGACGCCACAGCAGCCTACCGGCTAAGCCTCACACTTCTGCCCTAGGCTGGTGCAGGGGACCGGACAGGGAGGTCCAAGAAGAGTGGGTGAGCTGGAGACACCATCAGAAATCAGACTAGAAGGTACAGGAAGCATTTGCCTGCACCCACATTCCTGCCTTAAACTCTTCTGCGATAATCTAGACAACAAACAGTTTTAAATTCATATGTTCTAATGAAAAGGAATTCGACAGTGACTCTAGATGGTAGACAGTTCTGGAATGAACTTTGGGAGGCCTATCAACTCAACACCCCGGATTTATCATTTTGTGTCTCTCTGTCTTATCTGTACATGGACCCACTTAGCAGCACAGTGAGCCTCTGTCTGGGCTTTAACCTCATGCTGTCTCCACAATGGCCAGCCTCCCCACCCGTGGCAGACTTCTCTGCTGGCTCCACCCACTGCAGTAACTGACATCTGCAGGCACTTTGATCTCCTAATGGTGTACCACAGGCCTCAGGCAGACTGACTCAAGTCTTTCCTACAAAGGGGTGTGCATCTTTCCCCATATGGTGTGAATTATTACCAAAACTCCGTATGAAAGAAAAAATGAGCAAGGTGATTTTTTTCTTCTAAGACTCATTTTCCAGAATACACTAAGACCCAGAAGCTGCGTGTCTTGGCTCAGACCACACACAGAATTATACTCACTGCAGAGTAAAACCCCAGACAACTACTCACTCTCCCTCCTATCAACTCAGCAGTTTCAAAACTTTGTTTATGCCACCGATTTTTAGGCCTTCAGATTACTAACTTAGATGAGAATGGTGATAAGCCCACAAATTTAAAGTTATCAGATGGAAGTATTTTTACTTAAAATAAACTGTAGAAGCTCCTGGAATCAGCAAAACATCTTCAAGTGAAAGTACTGAAAGAAGCCGTGTGGCTGTCCCGCCTCTCCCGGCCAAAAAGCCAATTCCCCACTGGCTTGTGCCTCCTCTTCCTCCTTCAGCTTGGATAACCACTTCCTGCAGGATGCCTTTCCCCACCCACACAGTGGGGGTAAAGTCGGCTGAGTCCCCTCCCCTCCCAAAGCACAGAGCAGCAGGCTAGCCCCTGGATGTGCATGTCGGGAATGATTACAGGGTTTCCACCTGCCTGCTTTTGTAGGTCCCTCTTTGACGGTAGTGCATACATCTAAGACAAGTAGCCCTGTGAGGAATGCTGGTACAATCAGCTGATATTTGTTGGGTGGATGAAGAACCGCTAAACATTTACCATCCGGTAACCCAACCCAAGTTAGTGTGCTGCGCACTAATGAGTCAGATACTTCTGGGGACTGTTGAATATTTGCTGTCTCTTCCTATCCTCTGGTCTCAGTATCACAGTATCACAACCGTGAGTGATAAAGTAGGAGCTAAGCCAACCGGAGAAGGGTGAGCGGGGCTAAAACCTATTGTGATCTACAACGGCAGTGAGCCATCGTAACATCCTTCTTCCTCATACTTCAGAAACAGGAGATACAGGTCAACCACCCACCTCTTTCTACTCCCTAAGATGGGTACATTCTGCCCCTTAATACCCCTAACTCCTGATCACACAATGACTGCTTTACTATGAGGTATTTTGATAGCATCCATTAACTACTTTCTGGACCAAGTTTCGGCCAATAAAAGATAAGGTTCCGGATCATTCTGTTCCCAT